AATGGGATCCATAACACATGTTTGGTTTTATTTAAGGCTCTTAAGCTGGGTGTACCAGGATCCCAGAGTTAATGTCCACTCAGGAACTCTTATCCAGTACATTTCACTACAAACATCGCATTATCCATGTTATATCCGAGCGAAGATTAAATCACGAGTAACTTCTGAGACATATTAATTGACTAATATTATCTATATATTCTTATGTATATTTATATTTCTCTTATTATAAGTTTTATTTTGACCTATAATTTATTATTGTACGATTTACTGTTCTTAAGCTATGTTCAGTTTATTAACTACTGCCTCCCACGTTCACAGCCACTTTCTGGCTTTATTGTGTATAAATGTTATTTCCTATTTTATGGTGCGTTGTGGTCTGTTTGGTTGATATATAAACCCAGTATGTCCGAAATTAATTATTCGATTCGCATAGTGGAAGCTGGTATTGGTGTTTCGAACTCAAGTGAACGGGCTAGGCAGACATAGGACCAATAATGATGCTAGGCTGTTCATACTGCTCGAACGTCATTGGTTTTGGTACAGTGCTAAGATAGTATAACTCGTATTTTGATTAGTGGATAAATCACGTGATAAAAAGTCGGACATAAAGTCACAACAATATATATATATATATATATATATATATATATATATAAATTAGAACTAAAATTCACCTCATTGCACAAGCCAGTTTATATATAAACTCAGTAGAAAAGTGGGTAGAGTGATGTTCTTCGTAGCACTGTATTGGCTACGAGATCCTGAGTGAACATCAACTTTAGGATGCAGGTAAATGAGGCTGAAGAATCCCAAAACAGACAGATTTCAATACTGGCCACTATCCATCTTTCCCTAAAATCCCTGTGACTAACTGGCTATATCAAGGTGATCCACACAGGATACATAAATGTTAAGGGAGATTGACTATCAATTGAAGTTCTTAACATCAATGGGAAGATACAAACAAACAATAAATATCAATTAAAATCATAGACATGAAATACAAATCCAGCTCTCAATTATAATTGATATTCAAAATTCAAAAACACAACTAAAACTTGAGACAACATCCAACAATACGAGAAAAATGTTTAACGTTACTCATACATTGGGTAATCTAAAGACAAAAAATCTAACCAAAATACTAAAGAAAAGTCCTTACAAGTAAACAATTGCTAGTAATAATCTTAATTAGTGTATTGTTATAGCTTCAACCGATTTAATAGTCATAAAAACATTAAAATTAAAATAGATATAATCCAATAAGGACGATGTCATTTAAACAAATATTCATAAATATGATCTATTAATCGCAACGACATATATGAAGTGATAACGCTTATGTAAGCTATATATCCCAGAGAGAAAACAAACTGATGGATAAGATAAAAGTAAGTTTTAAGATTACTGTTTACGCTTCAATAACACAGTAACGAGTTACTAAGATTTCAAGTCGAAACAACTGGCTCGAACAAAATTTAGATGAGGAATTTATGTACAATTGAAGTTACAACAACTCACTATTTCAAACCTAACTTTTGTGCACAAAGGAGTCATGTTCAATCCCTTATTCTTTTGTTACTTTAGCACACCTCCTAACTTTGCAAATCATAATTGATAATCATTACTTTATTCTTTATCTCTCTCTCCCTCTCTGCAGTTTTCCTTTGCAATGATTTTATAAATTATTATTTCTTATTGTCTTTGTAACTATTATATCACTTAATTCTTAAATAATTTTTGATCGCGACACTAATTTTACACAATAGTTGAAAACTCTCGATAATTTTAATTACTTTAAAGTGATACCCTTCTATTCATATTATAGTCAATACTTGAAATCTGTTAATAATCTCGGATTTCTTTATTAGCTAATGCAAAAACACTTCATTATTGTCGAGTTTTACATTCAAACATGGATACTTTGACTGTTTTTGATAAGTTTGTTGGATGACGTAACACTTCTCTAACGTATCATAACTATCAAATGTAAAAAGCTAACAATAAACATGATTATACAGCTCAAGAAATATTTTTTTCGTTGAAACGTCTTCAGAACTGTACAAGAAAACATGAATTAACAAGAAACATATCAGCTTCTACATTTAATCTACACAGTGAGAATTTTTGATCTTTTAAAAGTTATTAGACCAAGAATAGTGAGTTGTTAGACGACAATAATAAGGATATATAACATGCAATTAAAACAGTATCTATAGTACTTAAAAAGAAGATATATATTAGTGGCAGTAAGAATGTTGAAGACATCACAAAAAGGCAAACAGAAATTCCAACGTACATAAAAAATTAATAAGTTGTGTACAAAAATAATAATGATAAATAAAAATGGTATATTTTCAGTATTCCGATGAGCAGAAAAACTGAATTTCTGACGTTACGCGACTTAGTATCGAAATAAGTGTCGTACAACATTCAAGCCCAGTAGAGAAAATAAAGATTTTGCTGCAATTAATTCCTTCAATCTAATATCTATGTTTCAAAAGTGATAATACAACATACATTAGTTAGAAAACTAGGAAACAATGGACAGTTTTCTGGACGTAGTGTATGATCCCCTCACCAATAGTGCCTGCTAATTACTCCAAACACAATGATACACTAGATCTCCAGTTCTCATGGCAATTTTCCAACTAATATTAGGATTTAATAGAAAATTGTCTTTAAGTTTAACGAATCTCTACAAACTATTTAGCCAAATAATAGTCGTTTATTCATTAGAGGCCACTTTCAAGATGGAGTCGATCAATTAGAAAGTGGGCGAGTTACCCACTGGTGACACTGGATATGTATCATACTAATCATGAGTGAATGGAAGATCACAATGTAGCCTACTCAGTTTGAATGATATAATGCTTGCTACAAGTTAAGGTCTAAAGTTCAATAGTACTTAAGGTCGTCATAGGACACAGCTGAGAAGTTCGGCAATAAGAAAAATCAGTTATTTACAGTTCTTTCGTTTTCATTTACATTCCAAACTATATCAGCTTGTAAAAATAAACCATCTCGTGATAATTGCTAAGCAAAGTGTAAACCTTCATAAAATGGTTAATTAACAGTAGTTACATAAGAATAAATACTTAAAAATGTATGTGGTTTACACAACCACGGTCATCTCTTGAGTTAAGTACTCAATTGATGATTGGATCATAACATTGACAAAGACAGTTAAAGTAGTTGCAGTAACTTCTCTTGAGTGCAAAGTTTGTTTACGAAGAACTCAGGTAGCCTAAATTGTATGAGACACAGTGAGTGGTTTGCAATAGATAAGTGCGAACACTACTTAGGTCAAATAGATCGCTAGTCCATGATAATGATCGATATTTATTCACTATTCCTATTTTTCTTAGACTACCCTTGATGTAAAATAATCAGAAATCTAATGAACTTCTCGCTTGATTGTATGTGTGGCAGTGACAGATCTTGAATAAATGGAACAAGAATAAGAAAGGATACAAACTTCTTTTCGTCTACTTGAAAAGTACTTACTTGACCTAGCCATTTAACTTGACGAGCTCCAATAGAACCAGGTATGATAATTCTCAATGGGAAACCATGATCCCGAGTTAATGGCTTATTGTTCATTTCGAAAGCAATGATTACCTCCCTCTGAGGATCTAAAGCTAAATCAATTGGTAATGATGAACCAAAAGCTCCACCAGTAGGATCTATATCCAGTCCTATATTAAAAAAACGTTGGGAAATGTTAGAAAATATGAAGCCAATGTTATTATTTTTTTAAAAACCAACTAGGAATATTTCCTCAATGTTACTCATAGCAACTACTGATTAAATTAGTGAGTGTTAAAAGGATAAAATATGGCAATGATTTTCCTGTATATGTAGTAGCATGCCAAAATAGAATAGATAAAGGTTATTGGCTATAGACATGTACACCATATGGAGTTTAATAGTGTTAGACACGAGTCATAGTACCAATCAAATACAGAGCTACTCAATTTCCTCTGTCATTTACAGAAACCTACAAAAAGGAAAGAAAGAAGTTAAAAGAACAATAAGTGTTCATCTGAATTCCTTTTTATTTTTAGATCATTACAACAATATTTCGCTTTTTCTATACTTAGTAAATTAAATTTTTCCACATGATAATTCTATTAAGAACCGTATCTCAATGAGTTGAATATTATTTATAGAGAAAATTCAAACCCTGAAAACCGTATAAAAATGCTCTCAATATATAAAGCTAACTTTAACATGATTAGTATTTAGACCATTTAAATTATTACTAGACGATTTGGTTTACTGTAACCCCCCACACACAAAAAAAGAACCTTCTTCCCAAACTATATTCGATAGATGGTACTGGAATTCTTTGCCCCCAAATGCCCTGGTACGGCCGAGAGTAAAGAGAGTTCGCCCTCCCTCTCGAAACGCTCTTGCACGACCACGAATATACAGCCTCTGCCAAGGAAGTCCTACTCATTGCCTTCTCATGGCGAGGTGTTGTTTACGAAATTGAGAGGACGAAAAGCGAATGTTCGGCGCTTTAACCGGTTTGATGGACACAAAAAGTTCACCTAGGGAAGTTGGAAAACCCTGATTCCAAACCAATGATGCACATGGGCTCCAGTATCCTGAGGGAACGGATGGCGTATGAACCAACTGTTGGTCACCGTCTACCATGGGACTGCATCTCCTTACGTTGATCCACTGCCTTGTGGATCAGACCTTATTGGATATACCGTACTGGAATTCATATTGAATTGAAACAATAATAGTTCAAACAATTATAAAAACCATAAGAATTTATAATTTCATGTTTAATTTAATAAAATTCTCAACTAAAAATTTCAAAAGTATTTTTTTAATTAGAAAAAAAAATGGAAAGCAATTAAAATAATGCAGACGTAAATGTCAAATATTTAGACAATTCACTCTATTTAAAACTAGTTTATTTATGCTACTACGATTTAGAAGAAGAAAAAAAAGGAAAAAAAAAACATTTTTACAATTATGCACTTATATAATTGTTCTTATCGATTTATAGAATTTATTATTGGAGATTTTAATTAAGTTCATTTATGAAGAATTCATTATTTATTAAATAAATATTAATGATATTTAATATTCTAATTATTAAAAAGGAACAAGTTGAATCAGTTGGAAAAAAAACACTTAATAAAAATATTTAATAGATTATTCAATCAGTTAGTTACAACGTAGGACCAGGCACATATTTGCATCGATCTAAATTGCCATACCTCATTAGCATAATAAGATGAACACCGGATTCATAGAAGTAGTTAATTCAGTGGTGGTAATATATTTTTAAAAAAAGATATTTAATAATCAATCATTCGGTAAACAGTGAAAAAATGAACTTTATATTAATTAATTGAAATATAAATGATCAATCACAGTTTTAATGTTGATTGTAATTTGGTTTTATTATCTTATTAAAATATATAGTTATAAATAAATGTGGAGTTCAACTAGGTCTGTTGTGAGATAGTAATTCACTGATGATAGTGGTGTATGTGTCGCTCAATTTCGTGGATTAGTTGGAATTAGACATTAACAATTTTGGATGCCGGCTTAGTGGTCTAGAGGTTAAGTGCTCGCACGCGAGACTAACAGGTCCTGGGTTCAAATCTCGCAAGGCGGGATCGTGGATGTGCACTGCTGAAGAGTCCTACAATAGGACGAAACGGCAGTCCAGTGCTTTCAGGGTTTTTATGGTGGTCTAGCTTCAATTGACTTATAATCTCAATCATTAAAAGGTAAAATAGTAAGTGAATTATGATGATATAAGACTCAGTAATAACAGAAATATAAATCTTTCAATCAATAACGAAATATCTATTGTTCTTCTTCCAATATTCATAAAGCTCAGCATGAACTAATATGAATAACAAAAATCACTAAATTTTAGTGCTTACATGATTGGTTTTTGGTAAATTTCTATCTAGGACCTATCATCTTAACATTGACTAGCACACTCTTGTTTTATAATTTTTTTATTAGTAACTATCAAAAGAATCTTGTATTTGTCGTCTAATGTAATGAATATGATATAGTTTAAAAACTGATGTATTTCCTGGTCCAAACGATTTCACTAAAAATCTGTAGAAGATTATCGATTAAGACATTATACTCTCTTTTCTCTTGACCAATTTCTTTATTGAACTTAACAATATTTTATTAAAGCTGAAATCTTTGTACTCTATCTTCAGTGGAAACTAATCTGTCTTTTGGATCTAGTTCTCGGATTCTTAGTGAAACAGTTTACGATGTACTCTAACAGTTGGACTGCATAATTAATCGCTCTTAAAACTTTCAAACTAACAAATATAGGAAACATGAGTAGCGAGAAGTTGAAAAAAGTCTAAATCTCCTTGTATTCTGGGTATAATTAACCTCAGGAATATTGAATGGTTAAGTATTCATGCACAGCTTACCATCAAATCGAATGTGACGTACACCTGCATTTTTAAGCAATTCGTAGAGTGCTTGATAGTTTGTTCTTTGGTTTGAAGGCAACAGATGATAAGCCAATAGGTCCACTAACGGTACACCAGTCCACTCTGCCGTAGAAATCGCTCCCTCAGACCACGATAAGCCTTTCACATAAGGACTACGTTCTTCTAATTCAGCCTTTTTTATATCATACTTGATCATATCTGATCGTCGGTTCCCAGCGCAAACAATGGTAGATACTAAACTTTTACGAGGATAATTCTTTAGAATATCTTCTAATTTTAAAGACAAATTCAGTGGTTGATTGTTAACTTTTATAACCGAAGAAGCTATTTCAAGTCTATATGTCCTAAAGGAGAAAAATATTTCTAAGGATATATACCTTGAACGATAAATGTTGAACTAAATTTAATAAAGAAAATCTTAGTTAAAAAATGAAGAAATCAATTTGAAAAGACCAATCAGATAATGTAACATCATCTTTACCATTACTTAACTTTAATATACTTTTTATTTTATAGGTTTTTAACTGATTATTCTTTAGCTCAAAGTGTTAACTTGAACTGATCCACTTTATAAAGAAATATATTAAGCTAGTGCTTCCATTGATTTTAATGTTGACAATAACAATAAGTGACAAGATGACTGCATTTAATCGGTTATTAACCTTAATAAACAGATGCAGAATATTTTTCTTTGCAGTAACTACTATCCTAAAAAAGATAAGTCTCGGATGAGACATCAGGTACAAAATATTTACAAGAATAGGTTTTCTATAGAAAAACATTTAGTCAGACTGAGTGTTTTGTAACAACTGAAAGTTAATAAAATGAGCTAATTGATGATAGTGTACTAAGATTATTCAGTGAAATAAGGAATACCTGTACAATCAAAATGTGTGATATAAATAAAGAAAAGTTTCCATCTATACAGCACAACATACATTTTGCAAATCAATCTTTTGCCTACAAACTCAAAGTAGTTATATTTATATATTTTAAGATATCAGAAAACCCCATTGTTTTATCCTAACTTCACACTTGGTTGGGTTAATCAAAAATTATTGAACGAATAAGAACAATGTCCTCAGTTTAGGAAGAATTGGGCTTTAGAAACTATGAAGGTGAAGAAGTAAAAAGAGATTAATTTCAGATGCCAACGAAAACCTTCTGACATCAAAGTAAGGACGTAGCCAATTAAAATTGGAATTTACTTATACTATCACAAAAAGCAACTATCATCACATTTTGACGCCTTAATGGTAATTTTAAATAACTTCGTGAACATACGTCAACAGCTTAATCAATTATGCAAACAGAGATTGAAATTTTTAGCACATTATTAACTTATTAAAGCAGCTTTTCATTAACAATAACAACACGCTCAATCTAGCATTTGTAAGAAATTGCAAAAGCAGAAATGACCCATCAGTAATTAGTGCTGTTATTATAAATTATCTCCAGTCAGTCTTAATTGTTTCATCTCATTTTGTCATCAGGATATAAGTGCTTATATTTCTCAAGGAAATTACTTCGAAATGTCTACGTAATCTGTAAATCTAAGTTAATTCCAAGTGTTTTTATAATGCTTACGTGACAAAATCAAACTGGCGCTCGGTAAATTTATGTCACTTTTTAGATTGACATCCGTAGGATTCTTCTTATCATTATTTTACTACATTTCATTTACAACATAAAGGTGAACATTAGTTGAATTCTTGTAACGATCGTCACTGTTCTTCCTTATCCTACTCGCGAACTGTTATTTATTTATCTAATGAGCATTAAGATAAATTATTAATAGTCTTGAAATTAAATACATACATGCGATGTATTCTTAATTTTCAACAGTTTAAAAGCATTCATCTGACACCATATTTAAGGTTCTCTCATTTACACTTGTGTTCATCATAAAATCATCTATATGGCGATGCTGAAACTTCGTTAGTATTTAACGCGTTCTTGCACATCATTATTTTTTATTAGATCGATTCAGTCTTTTAGTGTCTATTGAGAGAGCTTACGTAGAATACTTTGAGATTTTTATTTAAAACCGCTTAATCAATCAGTATATTATGAGAGATGAAAATTCTTCCAAAATTCTCGTTCAGAAGGAAACCTTGAAGTAGCTACACTTGTAAATTTGAATAAAGGTAGAATGTGGTGATATATGTCTTGATTTTTTAGAATCATATATTCTGACCATGAGTTCTGAGTCCATTCAATGGAATTAGTAATTTGTAACTGTTTATTTCGTTGTATTTCGATAATTGAATGAGAAGTTTATTAAAATTATGTGATACATTTGCGCAATACATTTTGAACGATCTGATCACTTGTTAAGACATTTCTATATGAAAATTAAAGGCCAACTAGACAGGTTAAAGTAAGTCATAACAAAAAATAAATAGATAAATAAAACACACAAAAACAATGTGATAACCACTCTGGATAATAAATCAGTATTAACATTGTTGCTACCTTGACGTGGTGGTCGGGCTTGCATATCGTGATGAAGCGACCGAGCTATACTGACTGAAACAACCGTTCCTCAAGGTCCTACCATGTCAGACAGGTCGGTTGAAGAGCGGTAAGACTAAAAGCAACAAACCCAAGGTCCGAAGGCTATGTCGTACTGCTGACTGTACAGAGCTGCGACAGCAGTAAGGTGTTTCCTTCAGACAACCAGCATGACAGCGATGCTGCCTTCCCACAAGGAGGGGTGGGGTTAGAAAAGGTCGACCCTAAAAATGCACACCTCGCCTTATCCCATGGATATCCGTCTCCGGAGGTAAGGTCTCAACAAGTACGGAGCTAACACAAAAATTGCCCATAAAAAGATCGTGTGTGACCGACCTCAAGCAGTTGTTCCTTTGGGCACTGCGATCACGCTCCCTGGTCACTAAAACCACTTCTAATCCGATTTCCTTTTGAGGTACCTCCAGAAGAACCCTTCCACGGTGTGGGCAACCGGGAAGTGATAACCGCCCTCATACCTCTAACAGCACTCAAGACCACTATATTCATAATCAACCTCCCTCTTCAATTCCTATTATTCCTCCTACATCAACTTCAAACTCTAAACTTCTTTTTTCGGCTTCCCCCTCAAGTATCACCATAGCCAACGATTCTAGTGCTCAAAAAATTGTCCCAGGTCTACTGAAACCTCGTTCCACACTACACATTGGGGCCTTCAATGTACGCACCCTATGTCAAACCGGTCAGAGGGCCTACTTGGCTGAAACCCTAGAATCTCGTACCATTGATGTAAGCTGTCTCCGAAACACGCACACAGGATCCCAGTGTGATCATTCACTTGACCTCACCTCGACAAAACGGAGAGCCAACGAGATACACCCTCCGTATATCTGACGACCCAATGGCTGGTCTTCGTGGACTGGCAGGTGTAGGCATAGCACTAAGCATGAGGGCGAAACAAGCACTGCTAGAGTGGATCCCCGTCAACAGTCGTCTATGTGTTGTTCTGCTAAACGGCTCTGTAAGAACTCGGAAGGATAGAGATACACGCCGTTGCCTTTTTGTCGTTTCTGCCTACGCTCCCACCGACTGCAGCTCAGATGAAATGAAAGATGAATTTCACAGAAAGCTATCTGAACTTCTTCAGAAAGCTAAACGTTCAGAAATAGTACTCGTAGCAGGTGACTTTAATGACCAGATAGGTAGTTTAAACCAAACAGAAAGGCATTTAGGTGGGTATTTTAGTATTCCGGCACAACGAACAGATAATGGTAATCGTCTGCTGCAACTGTGCTCAGACAATTGTTTATTTTTAGCAAACACAAATTTTAAGCATAAGGAGAATCGTCTAACATGGCGACCCCCTACACCAGACCAACGATGGACTCAAATAGACCATATTGCCATCAGTCATCGTTGGGGAGGGTCGGTAGAAGATTGTCGCTCATTCTGGAGTGCCTGCTTGAACTCCGACCAAGCCCCAATACGGGCACGCATCTGCTTGCGCCTCACTGGACGCAAAATGCCTCAGTAAAAAGACCCATTAGAACTGAATTGAGTAGCGAGAAAATCAAAAGTAGGTTCCAGGAACAACTGAGGTCACAATTAGGTAGCTTTGAAAACGAGGCTGACCCAAATGTTGCTTGGAAAGACATACAAACAGCTGTGACATCTATCAGTGATTTTAATCACAGGGTTACAAAGAACCAATGGATTTCTTCAGGGTCTATTGCACTGATGGATTCTCGTAAACTCGTCCCATGAGGCTATGAACATGATGAAGAGCGTAAAGAAATCAGATCTAGGTTAACCAAAAGTCTAAGGAACGACCGTGAGCAGTAGTGTGCAACGAAATCAAAAGAGATGGAAAGGGCGGCGGTTATAGGGAACACAAGACAGCTCAACAGACTAATAAAATAAACTAGAATTAAGAAATCAAGTGTAAGTCAGACTATTTCGGAAAAAGACGACACTCATCTGCTTCCAGTCTAGAACGATGAGCGGAACATTCTAGGGAACAGTTCGGCTGGTTTTCAGCTACTCTACAATTACCCATCATTCCCAGAGTGTGAATAGAACATCGAAGTAGGTACCCCTACTCTAGCTGAAGTTCAAAAGGCTATAATTAATCTGAAACAAGGAAGGGCAGCTGGTCCAGATGGATTGACTCCAGAAGTCTTCAAGGATGGTGATCTTGTTTTAGCGATTGGGTTGACTAATTTTTTTAGCTAAAATTTGGGAGTTGGACGTAATCCCATCTGACTGATCACGATCACTAATTGTTTCAATATATAAGAAAGGGTCAAAATCATCCTGTGACAACCACAGAGGGATTAGTTTGACTAATATAACATCTAAAATACTATCCTCAATAATTATCGGACGCGTAACAAAGACTGGTGAATTGCAAACACGAGGAAATCAATCTGGCTTCAGACCTGGTCGTGGCTGCGTCGACCAAATATTCACCATTCGTCAGGTTCTAGAACACAGGCATGCTTGTCGGCGTCCGACAATGATGGTCTTTCTTGACTTAAAAGCAGCATTTAACTCTGTAGGCCGAGAGCTTTTGTGACAGTGTCTGTCATTGAAAGGCGTACCTCAGAAGTACATAAACCTTGTGAAGGCTTTTTACTCGAACACTACTAGTCGAGTCAGAGCTTATGGCGAACTGTCATCTGATTTTACAACCTCAAATGGTGTCAGTCGAGGCTGTCCACTATCTCCATTTTTGTTCAAATTCATCATAGATATACTGATGGAAACAACGTTCTCGTCGACTGAATTTTCGGGCATTGACCTCCTTCCAGGAGGTCCGCTTATCGACTTAGAATACTCAGATAATATAGTCCTGTTTGGTGAAGACGCTGATAAAATGCAGAGTGTTTTGGTAGTACTGAGCAACAATGCCAGAATGTTTGTAATGCGCTTCTCTCCCTCTAAATGCAATTTGTTGCTTCAAGACTGGCCTTCATCAACACGTGAACTAAGGATCAGGAGTGAAGTAGTCGAACGCGTTGACAACTCCACTTATCTTGGAAGTCTGATCAGCCCTAATAGGTTGGTGTCTGACGAAATCTCAGCACGGATTGGAAAAGCTCCTTTGGCTTTTGCCAACTTATGTTACCTATGGTGAAGGCGAGATATCCGTCTATCAATAAAAGGACGAGTATACTGCACGGTAGTTCTTTCTGTTCTACTTTACAGCTGCGAAACGTGGCCACTAGGAGTAGAGGATATTCGTAAGCTAGTAGTATTTGACCACAGATGTCTTAGAAATATTGCTCGCATCTGCTGGGATCACCGGGTAAGTAACAGTGAGGTTAGACACAGTATTAGGGAATGATGGTAAATCAGTTGATGAGGTTGTGAATCTTCATCGACTGAGATGGTTGGGCCACGTGTTACGTATGCCTGAACACCGATTACCACGACGTGCAATGCTGACTAGTGTCGGAGATGGTTGGAAGAATGTTAGGGGCGGCCAAACCAAAACGTGGCACCAGTCCTTGAAGTCACTAACTTCTAGTCTGAGCCATGTTGGTAGATGCAAACTACTTGGTTGGGGTCCACGTGACTATTGCAACCAATGGTTGGAGACTCTTGGTGAGATGGCTCAGAATGGGTCACAATGGCGTAAGTGTATATGCTCTCTGTCCTCCCTTGAACTAAGAGATTAAAATCACTTCATATCTTTCTTTCTACGAACTAATTCTTTCTTCCTGTACTATGTTCTTATATGCAATCTTTCTTTTATATATTATCACTATTAACTTAACCACTCCTATGAACCAGGTGTTCATCTTGCTGTGCTAATGCGGTATAGCAACTTGGACCGATGCATATATGTGCCTGGTCCTACGTTGTAGCTGACTGACTGACGTCCTTGAAGGATTTTGTACAACACTACAAATGCTGACTTGTTGTCAACCTTATGACCAAATCAAATATTTCGCAATAGAGGATGATCCTGTGATCGTATTTGACCATTAGAATTCATTTTTTTCTGTAGCCAGTTTGGTATATGTTCACCTGCACTTAATTGCAAATCACGATTACTCCTCCGTATATATGTGTTTCCTCACATACATGTAAATTGATAGACACACTGAGATGTGACAGTCGCTTGAGTGATGTTCGGGCTTTTGGTAAAACAGACCTTATCTTTTTAATAATGACAAGTTGGGCTGCATAAAATGTCCGGTTGATGGCTAATTTAAGTCCCAGTTTCAACATGAGACTATTTGTGTCGCCTCTAAATGGTAACAATGTAAACACGCTTCTTGGGTGCGAGAAGTGTCATACGTTTAATCGTATTGCAACCCCTCCAGTGGTTTATGAACTTCAATGAATAACAATTCTTCATTAGCGTATCAGCCAAGAACTTCGTCTCTACTTCACTAGTATCGCTAGTACAAATACGGTTGATTCTGCTGAATTTATTACAAACGTGGATTAATAAAAAACTACGTTCTTCTAATTCAGCCTTTTTTATATCACACTTGGTCATACTGAATCGTCGGTTTCCAGCGCAAACATTTTCATCTCTCATAATATACTGATTGATTAAGCAGTTTTAAATAAAAATCTCAAAGTATTCTACGTAAGCTCTCTCAATAGACACTAAACGACTGAATCGATCTAATAAAAAATAATGATGTGCAAGAACGCGTTAAATACTAACGAAGTTTCAGCATCGCCATATAGATGATTTTATGATGAACACAAGTGTAAATGAGAGAACCTTAAATATGGTGTCAGATGAATGCTTTTAAACTGTTGAAAATTAAGAATACATCGCATGTATGTATTTAATTTCAAGACTATTAATAATTTATCTTAATGCTCATTAGATAAATAAATAACAGTTCGCGAGTAGGATAAGGAAGAACAGTGACGATCGTTACAAGAATTCAACTAATGTTCACCTTTATGTTGTAAATGAAATGTAGTAAAATAATGATAAGAAGAATCCTACGGATGTCAATCTAAAAAGTGACATAAATTTACCGAGCGCCAGTTTGATTTTGTCACGTAAGCATTATAAAAACACTTGGAATTAACTTAGATTTACAGATTACGTAGACATTTCGAAGTAATTTCCTTGAGAAATATAAGCACTTATATCCTGATGACAAAATGAGATGAAACAATTAAGACTGACTGGAGATAATTTATAATAACAGCATTAATTACTGATGAATCATTTCTGCTTTTGCAATTTATTACAAATGCTAGATTGAGCGTGTTGTTATTGTTAATGAAAAGCTGCTTTAATAAGTTTTAACAACCGGTGTTAAGTTTGAGAAAGCAGTAAAAATGGTACTTGGTCAACCGAAAACGACTTTATCACTCCTGATTAATTTATTAGTCATATAGGAGTGGAAAGCACTAGTTTAATTCGGATGGCTTTCAAGTACGAACGTAATCAATGCTTAAGTTTGGTAGTTGTAACAGATTTAGTTAGATAATAACTTACTCGGGATCAACATCAGGAACAGGAAGGTGGTTTCTTACAAAAAATAAATCAGTAGGAGTTATTGGGTTGCTACATATTGATGAGAGAGGAGTTTCCGCATTGAAAGGACGCTGTGAAAGCACTTTCAAATCCGGATTTCTCTGAGGATCAGAACTATATATATCTTCATTGTCTTCTTCTTCGACAAAGTCCTGATAAGAAAGAATCAGGAAGATAATTACAAAACTCACAGACGAATATCTCATGATCAGTTTAAAATATCAACGCACTGGTTTTTAAGATGTATGCGAATTTAAAATGTTTCACTTTTATAGGCTTTGAATAAAATTCGCAGATAAAAGATAATAAAATATTTTACACTATGAACTAGTAGGTAGTAAGAGGGTGTATCCTTATTTTAGCCGTTTAAACCACTCAAGCGAAAATCAACATAATTGAACGTTAGGATCTTTCAAAAACTCTTTGAACTAAATATCGTAATAAATGTGAATACATAATAGTTATTTTTATATGTACGTTAGAAGATAATGAAAAACTGCCTAATCATAACTGACACATACTAAAACAGCCAGAATAACATACAACTTTACGCTCAACTAGAAATAAAACATAAAAATGTATTTATGAATAAACAAATAAATTAGCATTCTTTTCAAAGAATGTTGAAAACTTTAGATCTCGTACATTCATGAGAAAAGTAGCGATTCATTATACATAAATCAGTGTTGAAGACGAAACAGAAAACACCAGTTAAAATAATTGAATAAATACGTCTAGTCACCTACACAGTCGATGGAAAAAATAGGCTACGAAAGAAAGTTATTCATCACTTCATTGTATGAGTATCCGGAAATTTTGTTTCAGGCATGTATATTGTGTTATACAATAGATATTTAGGATAGTATGACTCACCAAGTAATAATCACTTCCTGAACAATGCCAACCCACTTGCAATAGCTATTAAGAAAATTTATATTTCAGCATCGATTCGTGTACAGAAGACAGGAAGAATTTCTCTCTTAATTGACTGAATAAAGCTATTTTCGAACTAAAAACCAACGCTTGTGGAATGCTCATGCAATTTTTGAGTTTGTAAGCATTGAATAAAGAGTCAACCGAAATAGCCATCAAATTATTGAAAAAGAGGTCCCGACTGTCAAAAGATGAATGGGTACTAAGGAAATTCTCCAAACAAAAGGGTTTTGGTCATGATAAAGAGCAAAACTAGATCAAACATTCCAGATGTATGATGGCCAAGAAATAAGCCAAACAGTCAGGTATTAATTCATTGTAGGGCTAAAAACCTGCAAACCTGGTTTCTTCCAATAGCCTACGATGTATATAATCATCTTTTATCCGACATATCATTTGAAAGATTAATACAATATCAGTCTAATGAACAGTTATTACTCGACATCATACTCCAGCGTTCATTTATCGATTGACATTCTTCCCATTTTACAGTTACTAAGTTATTGTGGAATCTGTATGGAATACTTCGACTAGTTGCGTGAATATCTCAAGGCTTTATGGATCGACAAATGAAAAATATGTAGTGCAACTGGAACTATGGTATTAACATAAATTCAGTCCCCTAAACTCTTTAAAGTGAATACATCACCTAACCATTAGATCCATCTTTCAAATGTTCTCTAAAACTCATTAGAATGGTCTACAGCTACTTAAGGGGGTTATAGTCTAAGTTTATGTTTGCTTTGTTATTGGTCACGCGCCAATAGTTTAACATCCCGAATTCCAACATCGAATATGGTTTTGAATTTCAGTTTAGTGACCATCTTAAAACTAATTTATACTGCTTAATTGCTGTAAACAGTTGTCGCTAAAATATGGTGGAAATAAGTGGTCGAAACGTTAATGTATAATAAAATTGCAAGCTTAATATTCAAACTTTGGTGAGTAATTTACGTAAACTAAAGGTAAACCAACCTATGATTTTCCATTTTTATTAGGTTGTTTGACCTTAAAACGACTGGCTGTGAGCTTTGACAACTGAGCCATTCCCAAAGGTTATGTCTGTTTAACATCTAATAATCACTAAAGCAAAGAAAACTCAAAAGTTAAAGGTCAAGTGGTGGGTTCTTACCGATTTGTCAAGTTCTCCAATATAGTACTTCTCTAGTATTTTCAAGACATGACTCTGGTAGTGAAATGCATAAACGGACCAAAATGAAGAGACATCAGACCCAGCGGCCAAAAGAATTTTGTCACCCCCAGGATGATCGTCAACAAAACTTGTAACATCGTACACTTTACCTTTAAGAGAGACCCAAACTCCACGTTCCTTACAGTTATGCTGAGCAAGTTCCTCTAGTGTAATGATACGCGGCTTCTTAGACTTTGAAATCCAAGCAATTGCAAAAATTCCACAAGAAAGTCCACCTAAAAAAACTACAAATCAATCAAAAAATTTTCCACATAACCATCACCTTGATATGTTACTGGACTAACAGGAATTTTCGCCAAGCTTCTCACTTTGTTGGATGAAGTATGGAACTGCACAACTTGTCATCTATAATGACAACAAACCTGATTGGGGAGTTTATGAAACGAGATAAAAATGAGGTTGATACGCGATCTAAACATAGATAACTCATCAATATCGTATAAACAGATAATACGATTGTTTCTTTGCCTAAAAAATAAAAGACATAAACCAATTTGCACAATTCCTATGAATGATGTTACTCAAATAAAAACGCTCCCTTTTATATGAGTTAATTAACTCATATAAAAGCAGAATCACGATAGATGTTAAATTAAGAGAGCGGAGCTCCGAACACCTATGAGTACTCATCCGTACTTTGACCTATATCCTTTAAAGCATACAAACATACACAATCTCCCAGATTTGGGGAAAATTTGACCCACTTTTGGGAAGCCGCCATAGTAAACTTTGGGGAAATGACACGAATTCCTCAATACTTCCCCAGAATCTTTTTACATTTTATGGAAATCGGCTTATATTTATTGATAAAACCTCAAATTTTTTCACATTTTTGAGAAAATTTTGCGTTTTTCACCAAAATTCCTCTAAAGTTGGGAGCTTGGGATACTTAATTAAATTAGTTTAAAGTAAACTAAGCTAACTTTCAGCATGACATCAGTCAGGATTGCTTTTCCCATGAACTTACAAAGAGCACCGAATCGCAGGCTGAAATTTTATTGTTATATTGAACAGGTTGGGAACTAAAAACTCCGTAAACAATAATTCACGAACAGCCCAGAAGTGACCTTGAAGTAACGCTTCAATGGTATCGTCCACTGATAAAGGTTATTGAGCACTTGAAGGTCAAACTGTTATGAAATGATTGGTGCTTCACCACGAGATTTATAAGGTTTCGCAGAAGCGGTCAAATCAAGATAACCCTTAGATTTTATTTAACTTCAGACACATTATTTCTGATAACATCAGTGTCAGTTTGGAAAGGACAAGGACGATTGATGGCCTGTGCTAGTCCTGGCAATGGTGGTCTCTCAGTTGATCCAACTTTCTTTTGAAAGTGTCGACGGATGAAACCTCAATCATGTGCTGAGTTCATGAATTCCACTCGTTGATGATTTGATGAGAAAGTCGACAGTCAGCTGATAAGTAATTTGTTCTGGGCTTTTCTGGAGTGTCCTCGTAAATTCTCTGTTTTGGAAGACAAGAAAAATGAAGTAATATCAGATGCAAATCTATCACTAAACAATTTGAAAACTGTAATCAAGTCGCCTCTATTTCTCCGATATGACAACGGGAATAGATTTAGCTTGGCCATTCGAGCATCGTACAGAAGCTTCGCTATTCCGTGAGTTGGTTTAATTGCTGTTCTTTGAATCTTTTCCAAAAGCTCACAGTCTTTCTTTAAGCAGGGGCTAGCCGCTTGTATGCAGTATGCAGTGGACGTGCCTATGTTAAGCTTATTTAGCAGAGCGAAGACATCGAGTTCTTCAATGGTCACGTTGTCCAGTGTTTGCATGGGGGTATTTGTATGGGCTGACTGGAAAGGTGCTTCTATGGTATATAGATTGGTAAAGTAGTTTGAGAATACTTCGGCTTCACCAAAGTCGTCCTCCACTGATGCTGAGGCAGTACTGTCTCCACATAGTGCAGGAATATTTCCTCTTCTTTTCGTCCTTTTATAGGAATACAAGCGTTTAGGAAGTTCTATGGATTCCTTAACAATTTTTTTCTTCGTACAGCTTTCTAGACATACGGAGGGTCGAGGCATAAGTATTCTGAGTTTTCCGATACCGAGATTTTTTCTTGTCTGTCCCCAGTAACTTAAATCTATCCCACATTTTTCTTCGCTTACGGAGGAGGATGTAAACCTCCCTACTGAATCACAATGGAGAGTTTCTCGGCCCCTTTGGTGTAATCCAAGCCATGTCAGGTGGAGTAGCTTCTAAGTATAAATCTTGAAATTCGTCCCAAACCGTTTCAATTGAGGAATCTTGCTCTATTGTCTACTGAAAATGCTGAGTGTATGATATCTTGTGTGTTTGCTTTCCAGACGTTAGGTCTGGACTGAGCTGACGTGTGCTCATTTTTGACAATTATATGGAAGTCAAAGTTTAGAATCACATGATCACTTCTACCCAAGGGTAGATGTAATCGAGGTTCGTAACGTCATCCTCATAATGAGTCAATATGATATCTAGTATAAACGACCCAGGGTCCGGGTCGTACATAGGCACTTCTTTCACATGTCACACTAGGGAACATGTGATAACCGCATCAACTAGTTCCTCCTCGAAGGAATTATCTGACAATCCTGGCCCATTATCAGATTCGTATGAGTGATTGAGCCACTCTCATAAAATAAATGATAACCCAATTAGGACTATTGTGACTTTTGCAAATGTGGTTTTGGAGAAAGCCCAATTACACTATTCATATAACTATTTTACAAGTTCCATTACCTTAATGTAGGCGTGATTGCGTCGTAGGTGACTGACATGAAATCGTATTCCCACTAGAAAAGGTGTCACGTCTCTGAAGTGGTATTAAATCTATTATTTCTTCGCTTGTTTTTTATTTAAAATAACTTATTTTCGAATTCCCCATATGCTGGCTCTTTAACTTACTTACTTACGCCTGTTACTCCCAATGGAGCATAGGCCGCAGACCAGCACTCTCTAACCCACTCTGTCCTAGGCCTTCTTTTCTAGTTCCATCCAATTCTTGTTCATTTTTCTCATGTCTATTTCCATTTCTCGGCGTAATGTATTCTTTTGTCTCCCTCTTTTCCTTTGGCCTTCAGGATCCCATGTGAGGACTTACCTTGTGACGCAGTTGGGTGCTTTCCTCAATGTGTGTCCTATCCACTTCTAGCGCTTCTTCCTGGTTTCTTCCTCCACTGAGATCTGGTTTGTTCTCTCCCACAGTACGTTGTTGCTAATAGTGTCCGGACAACGGATCTGAAGTATTTTGCGTAGACAACTGTTAATAAACACCTGTATCTTCTGGATGATGGCTTTAGTAGTTCTAAAGGTCTCCGCCCCATACAGTAGAACTGTCTTGATATTTGTACTGAAAATCCTGAGTTTGGTGTTGGTTGACAGTTGCTTTGAGTTCCAGATGTTCCTCAGTTATAAATATGCTGCTCTTGCTTTACCGATCCGCGCTTTCACATCTGCATCAGATCCATCCTGTTCATCAATGATGCTGACCAGATATATAAAGGTTTTTACATCTTCCAGATCTTCTTCGTCAATTGTGACTGGATTGGTGCATGCTGTGTTGTAATGGAGAATCCTGCTTTTCCCTCTGTGTGTATTGAGACCTACTGCTGCCGAGGCTGCTGCTATACTGGATGTTTTCGCCTGCATTTCTTGTTGCGATTGCAATAGGAGTGCCAGATCATCTACGAAGTTTAGATGGTCCAGCGTCGTCCTAGATGTCCATTGTATCCCATACTTACCCTCAGATGTTGAAATCTTCATGATCCATTCAATCCAGTCTGCTGGTACTTGTTTCTCATCCCAAATCTTATTGAAGAGAATGTAGAGTATCCTTGCACTTGCCACTACGTCTGCTTTTAGTGCCTATGATCGAATGTTGTCTGGTCCTGCTGCTTTGCCACTCTTGATTTGTTTGGCGGCCATGCTGATTTCTTCAATTTTTGGTGGGCCGACATCGATTGGGAGGTCTATGGGTGTGGGTTCAGTGGGGCTGGTCGATTCGAGTTCTTTGAAGTATTCTACCCACCTGTTTTGTTGTTCTTCTATGTTGGTGATTAACTTGCCTTCCTTGCTTTTCACTAGTCACCCTGGTCTGCGGTGATTTCCAGAGAGTTTCTTTGTTATGTCATACAGTTCTCTCATGTTTCCTTCTCTTGCAGCCTTTTCCGCCGTCATTGCTAAATCTTCCACATATTTACTTTTGTCAGTTCTGATACTTCTCTTCATTCGCTTGTTTACTTCTGTGTATTCAGCTTGTGCCTTGGCTTTCTCTGCTCCATTCCTTGTGATGGTGCTCCTTGTGGCCCAGAACCTCATGACATGTTGAAGTGATTGCCTCTTTTATCCCCCTCCAGTTGCTCTCCATAGTAGTTCCTTCTCCATTGAGTAGATCATGAAAAGCCTGGAACTTATTGCTGAGGGCTATCTTGAATTTGTTGAGTTTGTCAGTATCCCGAAGAAAAGCTGTATTGAACTTTTGTGATATTGTCCGCCCCGTTGTCCAATGCATCTTGAGTTTCAATTTCATCTTGGTGATCAGCAAGTGATGGTCTGATGCTATATCAGCTCCTCTCTTGGTTCTCACGTCCTCCACCGTCCTCCTGAACTTTTTGTTGATGCAGACATAGTCGATTTGGTTTTGCGTAGTGTGATCCGGTGAAGTCCATGTGGTTTTGTGAATGCGTTTATGTGGAAATATAGTGTCGCCTATGACCAGTTTATTGAAGGCACATAGGTTTGCAAATCTCTCACCATTTTCGTTCCTTTCTTCTAATCCATATCGTCCCATGATGTCTTCATATCCGGTGTTGTCCATTCCAACCTTGGCATTTAAATCTCCCATCAGAATGGTCAGGTCCTTTGTTGGACACTTCTCGATGATTGACTGCAGCCAATTGTAGAATCGATCTTTAGCGTCTTCATTGTAATCGTTGGTAGGCGCATAGCATTGGATGATGTTCATTGAAATGCACTCTTTCTTTGTTTTGAAAGAGGCTTTGATGATCGTTGGTCCATGAGATTCCCATCCTATAAGTGCATTTTGTGCTTGTTTGAACAGCATCAATGCAACTCCTTGTGTATGTGGAGCATGTTCATCATCATGGCCGGAATATAAGAGCTCTCCTGAAGCTATTCCTTGTTGTCTAACTTTCGTCCAATGTGCTTAACTGATCTTAAGCAATTTAGGTTGTATCTACTCCAGCACTATATTTTATTTTATAATCACACATAATCTTATACTCTCAGCTCTTTTCCGAATCGCCCCCATTTGTCAGTTGTATGACCACTCACACCTTGTCAACACTTATTTTCCTTGACCTATTAAAATGCTATTTCTTAACATATACCTTACTAAAGGAAAATTAGACTGAGTAATCATACCTTAAACATTCCTTCATGAATATTGGCTACTCTGCCTCTGGTGTTTTCTTTTACTTGCTCCCTCTTTCAGCCCCCTTGAGATATGGAACTGGTGACTTCATCCTGCACCATCATTGAAGCCTTGGATATCCCTAAGGGACATAAGGTTGCGATTTCTAAAAGCTCATACCTTCAATGGACCTATCCTTGACCATCAGTCGCACATTCGCAACGCAACTTTCATGAAGCGCGCCAACTGTGGCACTGATTAAAACCATCTACATTCATATCTTATAAATTATCAACCCAGCTGAGTAATTTACTACAGTGGATATTGTATCATTTGTAACAATTTGATCTTGCCTGTAAACTGGCATGCCACATGTAACAAACTGTTATTTGAGAATAAATTATTATTATTATATGTAGAATTATGGTCTACTATGATATTTGTACTGCGCTAATAATAGATCTAATCTGAAAATTGTAGACTTGTCATGATATAACTGCCTAGTCCATAAGATCTTACTTAGAAGTCACATCATCATCTACACCAACTCACTATATCGTAACAATTACCAATACATGATGGAGAACAAGCTTGGGCAAAAGAAAGAACAGTATATTTAATATGAATAAAAGATACAAGGTAACATCCCACGGGGACCACGCCCGCATGGCCGAGCTATGCCATCCGATCAACTCTAATTATTTCAAC